ATATTTGAGGTTGGGTAATCAAATTTTTTACTTTTTAATGGTTGGGTCAGCAAAATTTTTGCCATGAAAAACATTTCTCTTCGGTGCCACCCCCCACCATAAATAATGACCGCTCCCTAACAGGGATAACTTCTGCCCATATGAACAGGCCCTAAGACTACTCCCAATTAAAAAGAGCAAAACTACCATCCAAGGACTTGGTCAAGTTTTACGTTATAGCTATGTATCCGTTCACTGTCATATTATTCTTGCCAAGTTTTCCATTTTGAGTTTTTAAGTACTGCGCTGGAGCGAATCCAAAGACGAGCAATGAACGTTATATATGGTTACGATATACCGTATATAGCGATGCTTTGAAATCATTAGACTTTCTAATCGTCGAACACAGCTCTGCGACGAATTTTTAAACAAAATTTTAGTGACTCCAAATGACAAACCACATGAGATTCTTCCATATAACTATAATAAGGGATACCTTTATGAAAAACGAACTGGCTCAAGGCTCCTTCATAATATCTATCTATCAGTCTACTAACTTCTCCATGAAAGGCCTTAATTTGCTCAAAAGACAAAACTCCTTGTATTTGTTTCTCAACAACTTTCAACTGGTTCAAATTTTGATTGAGTTTGTGCTTGTTCTCCTTTAACTGGAGCATGAGAGCAGAGGAAAGTTCTTTTATCAAAGTAATACAGGCGTTTTCTTTCGTATTTAGTCGACAGTTCACACGAAGAGAGCGATTCTAATCGCCATTCACCATTTTGGTTCAAGTTTCAAGAGGGATACTCCAATGCAGTCCGGAGAACAATCAAAATTCAAGATCTACTGTGAAGAATGAAACTTTTATAATTTATATTGTAAGGTCAGGTAGGAAAATGTAACCAATTATTGAAACTGCATAAATATTATGGTTCTGTACTGTACAAATGTCAGTTCAAGCATGCTTTCTAAAACGTGAGGGTCCTGTATTTCGTCTACAGTTTAAGTAACATTTTCAGAATTTCAGATACACACGCATAATAAACCTGCAGCAGACTTGTAGCAATGTTGTTACAACAACTTGTCAACAGGATGTGTTCGCACTGCTTGTTCCCAGCTTGTTGACAAGTTGTCAACGGCTTGTTGACAACTTGCTACAAGGTGGAACCTTGAGCTCAACAGACTTGTTACGGGTTGTTCCGACAACTTGTTACTGTTCTGCAATGTTACTGTCCTGCAATTCATCAATTTGTCAACAAGTTGTGAGTGACAACCTTGTAGCAACTTGATAAAATAACAATTGACAAGTTGCGAGATGTTTATGTGTGGAAAGGCTCGTTTACACTTATAATTTTTGCTGTGATTTTAGGTGCGATTTTCTTCTTCTGATGGATGTGAACGAGTGGCTTAGTTATGAATGTTCAGATGAGGGTACATGTACTCTGAACATTCATAACTCATCCACTCGTTCACATCCATCAGAAGGAAAAATCGCCTAGAAATCGCAGCAAAAATTGTAAACAGGCCTTAAAGCTGCCAACTAAGCATCAGGAATGTTATTTTTCAGTCACTTCAATATCTTCAATTTTATGCAGCTTGTCTTTGCTATACAACAACCTCTCTGAATTGATTGAGAAATTATTTTTACCAATATGCAATGTCTCTAAAACAAATGGTGCTTCCAGCAGTTGCAATATTATTGGTACGTCTGTATCTGTGAGACAATTCCCTTCCAAACTCAGAAATGATAATGTTCCACTACATTTTTTGAGAAGTTTCATGAGACCTTCTCCAATTTCTTTAAATTGGTTGTTTGCAATTTCCAAGTGCTCTAATTTCTGAATGCAAGGCAGTGTTGCCACTCGAGCAAAATCAACATATACATGGCCTGCGTTTATACTACAGTTATTTAAGATCAAATGAGTCAGAGGGGCTGAGATATGTTTCAGGACAAAGAAAATTGTGAATGCAATCAGATTCATTGATAGATTAAGATATTTTAAACTTGAGAACCTTCCTAATGATTTGTAGCACCGAGGCCTATTTTCTAACAAAACTGGCAAGTCATTCATCCGTAGATCCAATCCAATCACTGATTCTGCCTGTAATAAAATAGAAAAGTTTAACAATAATTCTTATCTGCAGGCCTGGAAAATATATTTCACTTCCTGGCAGCAAAATTCAAAAATAAAAATTTCCTGTATATAAATCAAATATAAAATGTCTGCATATATAGATTCCAGAGAACATATGGTTCCGCACATTGTGATAAACTTCAAAATCAGCACAAGACAATCTTGACTTGCAAAATGCTTTTGGAGTTTTTAAGCAATAAGTAAATTATAGGCATTCCAGTATATAAGATAACAAAATTTAATTCTGTGCTTTATGAAGAAATTTAAAAGTTTTACAGAAACTAACATCGCTAACCTGGACAATTGCCAATGCCTTTAATATCTTTTCAATACGTATTAGTCCCAGTGCAATTGCATAGAAATATGACACAGTGAAATCATAAATTACATCATCGCCTTCCAAAACGTCCAGAAACAGCTCATAGTTGTTCTCATCAACATAGCAGTTTGTAGTTATCGATAATCTGTCTGACCGATCCTTGTTCTTGTCGACTGCTGTGTGTTTATTTGTTGTGTCTTTATTGGAACAATATTCTGTGATATTGGGAAGAGATTGTCCGGCTGCTAACATCAAAAGTAATGTCGTTCCACGGACACCTAATTCAATTATACACACTGTATAGACGATACACACAGACTGCCAGATATACACACAATATATCTGGTAGTCAGCTATGTATAAAGCTGACATAAAGCTTTCAGTGAGCTTACTAGCAGCATGTGGCTCGGTATGGTTGCGGCATAGTGGTTTAGGGGCCAACCATTAGAACGGGGGGGGGGAATCCTGTGCGTAAATGTCTCAGCAGCAGGATTCATAAAATGAAGAGTTGATAAAATATTTAACGATATCTCAAAAATAAATCTTGTCGCCAGAGGCAAAATTTGATGGGTCACTATAACAGGCATTTATAGAAATTTGACTGGTCATATTTATAAATTAATTTGGCCAGTCATTGAGGCATTGACGGGTGATTTTGAGCCTTGTTAGTGTTATAGAAATGCCCCAAATTTAGACCTTAGACCTAGAATATTAACCTTTTACCTATGTTACAGCCGGTGAGGTCAATTTCACGCAGCTTATTGCATCCTGATTGAAGGCTGTGAGCCAAAACTAACGCATACTGTTCTTTAAATTCTCTGCAATCGACCAAGGAGAGTTTTTGTAGAGGCCAGGACAAGAAAATATGCCGTATTGACAAAATACGGTCTGTTTCCATAGATGCTTTAAGCAAGCACTCGTACAGAACTGGAGGTATTGCTTCAGTATGCACACACAACAAATTTACATGTCTGACAAAAACATTTGTTGCGAGGTCGAACAGCGACTTCACACAACTCATGGTCGACTTTTTTGGATAATTTCTTTTATCGTTATAGCACTTGTTCTAAATATCTATTAATCTTAATATGCCTTTGGCATGTATTTTTGTACGTTGTATTCTTTTATTTTCAAAACTCTTTTATGGAGGCAATCGAGCGGCCATATTTAATTTATTCATTTTTTATTTGTGTTTCCACAACAGTTCAATGAATAAATCGAGCAATAAAATAATAAAATTTGTTTTTATTTTTTTATTTTTCGTTCAAAAGTGTGATAAAAAATAACAACAAAGTCCCTAATGTGCTCTTTACTTGAACACGTTTAATTTTGCGCATCGTTTTTTCGGCTATCTGTACAAATTATGAAATGAAAATATGTAAAATTTCCTTGAAAATGATTCTCCTTTCCAGCCTCGGTCGAAATAATTAACTTCATTAATATATTAATATTGACAAACGAACCAAAACATTCACTTTTGCAGTTCTAGTGAAATTTTAGGCTTCTTTTCAACAGAATTTATATATTTTATATAAATATAATGGTATAAAATTTATGTTGTATCCTGCACAGGAACTGGCCGTCTGTTATGGGGTTTTAAATGGAATAATTTTCGTTCGAAAAAATCTTGGTATAATTTGATATTATTTTGGCAATTCACCAATTTGGCATAAATTCGGTTGCGCTGAACTAGAAATTGTAAGAACTATCGCTGAATATGTCGTATTACCAAGCGCTAATTTTTGTGTGTCTGTTTGGAAATTTAGTCCTAAGAGAGACGACTTTCGCTCTGTTTTTGGATGGCAATAAATTTTCTCTTTGTGACCAAAGTTCAACATTACCAGGATATGGCATTCTGGTTTCGCATGGACAACCATCATATGACCGTGGGACTGTAGTAATAAAGTCGGCACTGAATAAGTCCTTGGGTCTGTTTGCAAATACAAGCTGCATCTGGTCTTATAAAGTACAAGGCATCTTTATTCAGAAAGAAGACGAAGTTAAACATGGGTCAAATATATCATGGTTTTTTTCGAAATCTGGTTTGCACAAAGTATCTGTTACTGCGCAGTTTGATAAAGAAACGATAAAGAATTGTACATTTGTCAATGTCACAGGTAGCACTCATTGAGCACCAGGCATTTGACAGAGTAGATTACAAAGTCAGTTGCAATGTGCCCTACTTTATTATTTTACTCTGTCTAATGCCAGACGATTTTACTTGTCAAGGGAAGTGGATGAGGAGCACAGCTGGCTATCTGCCCATGTGTCTACTGTCTAGTTAACCCATTAACTTGTATTACACCCCCAATGTGCCTACTTTATTGTTATACTCTATCTAACGCCAGATAATCTTACTTGTCAAGGGAAGAGCACTGGCACTCAATAAGTTAACCTATTAATGCACAAATAAGTTTGGGGACATATTGCTGCCTTAAATGGGTAAAATTCATAATATAAAATGACCTAAACTGATTGTTTGAGCTTAAAGCCCTGGGCAAACTAGGAAACATTGTTGCGGAAACATTGTTTCCTACCAATGTTTCGCCATGTTTCCCAGAGTGGGCAAACACTAGGAAACATTAGTGAGAAACAGGAAAACATCAAATGTTTCTGAATTTGGTAGGAAACATTTTTGCTTCTCAGGAAGCATTTTTGTTTCCGCAACAATGTTTCCACAGGTGGGCAAACATGGAAACATTTGAGGTCTTTGAGGAAACATCGAGAATCACAAATGTTTCCACAACAATGTTTCCTAGTTTGCCCAGGGCTTAACTTACATATACATAAAGTTTGGCACATGAATAGTTCTGCATTTGAACTGAACCTTACTGCGCTTTCTTGTGACGATTTCAGATTGTTCTCGTATCTCAAAAGTGAAGGTTTCAACAGCAACAGGGTCGTACAACATAAGTCAGAACCACACCGACATCACGCTGAACTCTCCGGGACTGGTCAATTTCACCGTGTCAACTTTTACGATCGACCCATATTTTGTTTGCAAACGTTTATACTTTTTCTGGGATTTTGGCGATGGACACAACACATCGGGAAAACATGTTGAGCACCGTTATAATAACACTGGAATTTTTTGTGTCGTTTTGAAGATATATAAAGTTTTTAGAGATGATGGTGGAAAAGAGTTTATTAGAAACATTACAATGAAAATTCATGTAAAAGGTTTGCTCTTTAACTGCATTTTATATAGGGATTTGCTGATCCAGAAGCATGTTCCCGGAGTTCCTTAGTCCCCGGCGTTCCCTAGTCCCTGGCCAGAACGGCAGAAGGCTACAATCTGGTACCATCCTGCAAAACATTCTGTAATATGCCATATGTTGCTAATCTAAGATTTGTTACCTTTTTTTCTCATTTCTTGTGCAAAGTACTAGGGGATTTTTTAAAGAGGACTTTTATGAGCTTTAATTGCTCGAATGGGTCTACCCAGTGTGACCATGGATTTGGTAAAATATTTTAGTTTAATAAATCCATCTGTTTTATAGGAAAACCTGATGCATCAAGCGAAAGCACAAACACTGTAGTCGATGTCTCGTTGGTATTGGCAATATTCTTTGTCTGTTTTGTGTTTGTCATTTGCATTGCTGCATACTGGTTCCGAAGACGGCTGCACCGACACACAGAAGTGGCAAGATTCGACTTCCGAGCTTCTGAATTTCAGAGTGATTTTGACGAACCGTGGCCTAGGATAAGTTGTCATGGTAATAAAGGATTTATGTGCAGAAGAGGGAGTGATGAACATTTGTTAAATTTTGAACAACGTGGACACTACTCATCCTGTAGAAAGTTTGACGGCAATAACCCTAATGAAAAGCTTTGATTATGGTCTTGATGGTACAATAGGTTTATAATGAATAACCAAAACTTGGAGGTACATATCGTCACCTCCAGTGTAGGTGTAGATGTAAGGAACCTTACCCAAGGTTTACTTGGATATTTACTTTCACTGATAACACTAGACCGGTCATTTATTATGATGGGGGGGGGGGGGGGAAACACCAAAGAGAAATGTTTTCCTTGGTAAGAGTTTTGCTAATCCAACCTTGAGTTGTTTTGTTTTTCATTTAACTGACCAACCTTTTAATTCTCTCAAAATGTTGTTTTCCTAACCCTTTTCTCTTCGATGCCTGCCCCCGCAATAAATAATGACTGGTCCCTAACACCAATTTTAATTCACAACTTCAATATTCCAAACTTAGAAAACTTGTTATGGAAAAACGTGATTAATTTCGACACAAGCTACTGGCCAAAGACAATTCGTTTTGCAATAAGGGTGGGGGTTAATTTAATTTTATGATTAGATGAGGTATAAAAAAAACCTGTAAATATATATAATTTTTTAATTAAAATATAAACAAACACTGGCAAAAAGGGTTTATGAATTATTATTATTAAATAAGGTAAAAAATCTGCAAATACGAATAGAATAAAATCATAAAAAGACATGGAGTTCACTGGACCACAAGGCCTAGGAGTTAAAATGGCGTCATTATTTGCGAAAAGGTCGATTAACATTGTTGTCACAATCCAGTTACATGCGATCAGTGTTTAACCTCAAGCCATTACATTCACACTACATGAAGTATTGGACGTTGCTACGCGCGCATTGTACGATGGGAAAGAATTTCTTTTCGTTCTTTTTATTTTGAACCTTGTTGTCTGTGAAGGTGAGATTTATATGAGTTTAAATCCTTCGCAATCGAAGGCTTTTCAAGTTGTCTTGCCTGCTGTTCTGGATTATTTAAAAAGTCTTAACATTGGTTTACTAAATTAGCCATGTTTCGTTACGAATGCTCCTATTCGTGTGGTATAATCTGCCTCCAAAGTGAAGCGATGTTCGTTTGAGTAAAGTAGTGAATGAACTCGAGCTTCATAGCGTTTTCCCAACTTGTGCAAAAGTTTTATAGTTCGTGAGGCATTTCACCTTTGTTGCATTAAGACTGGAGTTTACTTTTTCTCACTATAATATATGAACAGAAAAAAAACATTTAATAGTATTGTATAAATAGAATTATAATAAAAGTGTTCAGACGAAATTTGCAAGGTTGTTCATTTAAAGGATTTGTGCTAAATATACATCGAGCAAGGATAGGTCACATTTAATCTGCTGTGGTTTAAGTTTGAACTAGCTACTGAAGAAAAATAATAAAAGGACCCTTAGTGTAGATTTCCAAACTAATATTTATTGTCAGTGTTTCAAAAGATTAGATTGCCATGCCACTATCACAATTTTGCTATTATTTTCTACCCACTGACAACATTTTGAAAAACTTCATACTGTACTTCACTGTCTCAAGACCATATTTTCTGTTTGAGCAAACCCTTCCTCTACTAAATCTGATGCAAAAAATGTCGAAGTGTTTAACTCATTGAGCTGCAGCACTCTCCCGTTGGCGAGTAAAATGGTCTGGCATTAGACAGAGTAAAATATGAAAGAAGGTGCAATGCATCTTAAAGGCTAGTTTCCACTCAGGAAAATTATCCGTGGATTGGAACGGAATGAGGCGTAAAAAAAATTTAAAAAATTCCGGTTTCATATCGTCAAAAAATTAGGGTCGGTAGGTCGGAAATAAATTTTTTTTTTGAATATTTTTTTCATGGTTTTGGCAGTTTTTTGCTGGGCGATTTGCAGTAGAGTCCCGACATCAATATTAACTAGAGATGCGTATTTCCTATCGACGAATTTAGGCAATTTGGTTCAATAATTAGTGCGACAACAGACGCCATTTTGGCACGCTGTACGAGCACCCTGCGACCACCAGTGGCACCTGGAGAAAATAGGGTCGCACGGTCAATCGCGTTGAAAAAATAATAGGGTCGGTCGGGAACCGGAACCACAGGTATTTTTTTTTACGCCTGACTTTAACACAAAGAAAAATTTTCTTAGTTCCAACCCAGAGCTCACAAGACAAAGAAAAAGTTTCTTGTCCGTTCCAATCCACAGATAATTTTACTGAGTAGAAATTAGCCTTAATGGGTTAAAGTTGTTCAGGCAGTGCATGACAACTTGTTGTAGAATATTACCCTACAGTGGACACTGTCATGTTTGAAATATTAATCTTGTATGCTATGTACCAGTGTACATACTGCCAATATAAAGAAAGCTTAGGATTGATAGGGATACACGCTGCCTAAAAAATACACGGAGAACTTCGATGTTTCGACTCTAATGAAGGACCTTTGCTCGAAATGTTGAAGTTTGCCTCAAGTGTATTTTTTCAGGTACAGCAGTTAAATCCTTATCAATTTGAAGATTTCTTTTGAAATGTTTTGGGTATCCTAAACTATTTGTATTTGTTCCCTTCTAGCAGAAACAATGAGAATTAGTGTGCTAGCGGACGCTCTTGTGTCCATTTGCAATGCAGAGAAACGGGGGAAGCGACAAGTGTTGATTCGACCAGCGTCGAAGGTCATCATCAAATTTCTAACAGTTATGATGAAACATGGTATGTTTAGTTCCTATTTCTTGGCAACCCCAACTGCATGTTACCTCCCCCCTGCAAGTAAGCATTATCCCCGATTTTAATTATCAAATTTCTACTCTAACAGTACCCAAATGATTTTTGGTTTGTTAATTAAAATAGTAGAATGTTTTTAAACATGGACAAAATTAATGAATGTGTTGATTGTTCTAATTCAGGATATATTGGAGAGTTTGAAATAATTGATGATCACAGAGCTGGAAAAATTGTTGTAAATCTAAATGGACGGCTAAATAAGGTATAAATAAGGCTTATAAAAACAATTGTTCCAATATAATGACTTTTAAGCCCCGTTTACACTACGCTCAATTTTTGGTACAGCACAGATGAAATTGGTACCTGTACACTACCGTACCACTTTTTTGTTCTTGGACTTCCTATATTTTAAGCCCTGTTTACAATTTTCCTCGATTTTTGGTACCATACCACTTTTTTGGTTCTACTAGTCCAAGAACCAAAAAAGTGGTACGGGTACCAATTTTATCTGTGCCGTACCAAAAATTGAGTGTAAACGGGGCTTGAATGTTAGTTCCAACGAAGGGCCTTCACTCGAAATATCAAAGTTCTTGTATTTTTTCCTATCAATACGCACCTTGCTGAATGACTTGCTTTTTTTATAGTGTGGTGTGATCAGTCCTCGATTTGATATCTCTGTGCGAGACATTGAGAAATGGGCGACAAACTTGCTGCCATCTAGACAGTTTGGGTCGCTTGTTCTGACGACATCAAGTGGCATTATGGATCATGAAGAAGCCCGAAGGAAACACACAGGGGGAAAAATTCTTGGCTTCTTTTATTGATAGCAGCTTTTCTCCTAATGTAAAATAAATCCTTCGAAATACGATTTGTTATGCTGTGTTGTTATATTAGTGAGCTTAGGAAAGCAATGTTTTTCATTTTGTCAACTCTGCTGAAAATTGGTATAACTAATTTTGGCAGCATTGCACTCATGTACAGGTAAGGAAACAAATAACTTCAAAAATCTTATGTTTTGTCATATGTGTTGGAGATTACCACAAATCGACACAAACACATTTTTAAACAAGGTCCCCCTTTGCAATCTGATGTTTTGCAGCAAGTCTAATGAACAAATCAATGTTGATGCAAGTTGAGAAAATCAGACTTGCTGCAAGTTGTTCAAACAATTTGCAGCAAGCTTGTGGATAACACAACACGTCTTGACAAGTCTGATAAAACAACTTGCAGCAAGTCTGTTAAAATATTAAAGGCTTGTTGCAAGTTGACATTTGCTGACTTGCTGCAAGTTGATAACAAATTCGTTTGATATTTGTGGTGTTACTCTGAGTGTATATCCACACCGGGCGAGCTTGAAAAATATGCCCGGCCACGGTGGGATTCGAACCTACGACCTTTGGAATTTGACTTGTACATGGCATAGTGATGTTGCTATAACTAAGATTACTATTTTACCTATTATTTGTTATCAATATAAAATCTATTGTGGGATGAAATCAGCTCGGCAAAGCAAGCTACCTTGGACACCCGGGTTGGTTTGCCTCCATACAAACATCCATTTACTTGCCTATTTACAGTGCTGCCTTAACTTATTAAGTATTAACCCTAGCCTGAAAAGCAGGCGCTCGCGGGCTTGGTTTAGCATGTTACCCCCGGAATATTGTACTTATGCCAGACGTTATTCCCGGTCTCGGTGGAATTTGATGCCCCCGGGTTATTAAACTTATACCGGAAGCCATTCTAAGACAATTAACTATTATATTCGAAAAATGGCGACATCATGACTAATCCCGGAAGCTTTGTGGTCAGTGCAATAACTATTCTATCTGACTCATCGCTTTTTCAAAGTCTTCGCGGAGCATTTTAAAAAGTTTGGAGGGAAAACTCGACGATGGTTTGAACACCAAAGCAGTGCAAATCATGGGAAGCGAAACGAAAAGCCCGAGTGCGCGTGTCGACTCGATGGAAGTTGACAACCTTAGCGGTATGCCAAATTTGCATGTTGTTTTGTCGTGTGTTTTAAACTAGTTTAAAATAAATTCTCGCGGCGAAAGATTTGCTTTTTAAATATTGGCGAAGGGTGATGATAACTTGGTATATGTTTTATATAAACAGAATGCTCAGTCGGTCGAATATCGGGATAAAAATCGCCTTCAATTCCGAAGTTCGGTTTTTATGCCAATCATAACAAATTAGTGTTGTATCTCTGCATAACTGAAATTCTTGTTCTGAAAGGAATAAAATTTGTGTTAGTAATATCAGATTACAGATAAGCATTTTAATGTAATATTTTTAATATTTTGTCTGTTTGTAGTCAAGTTGGATTTAATATCACATACACTTATTTATATTCAATTATATTGGCTATACACTCGTGTGGTAGTCGATTTTCTTAAGGTGCTAATTAGCTTAATTTCACTAAAAACCAAGAGTATTCATGTAAAAGTGATTATTAATATTATATGTGTAGAAATTTTAAAGCATATAAAATTCAATGACAAAATCTTTGAAAATGACCAGATTGAATACATTGACTGGATGCGATTTCCAAAAAGAAAGAAAATATGAGTTTTCAAGTTGCACTTGACTATTATTAATAATTGTGACAGCTGGATTCAATGTATCAATAATACATTTAGGACATTTAGCTGTGCTTGCTAATGCCTTGCTTGCATTTTGTTGACAAGCAAATTCAGATTATACTATAGTCTATATATTTTGTGTGATTTTTATAGCACAATACCAACGCTTGTACCAGTTTGAACCAATGCAAGATGTCAAATTAATTGCCTAACACTTCCCCCTCTTGGACTGGTAAAATTAGCCTTTCTCGTGAAAGCCAAAATTCACCATTTTTGGGAGTTCTGTCTGCCCTTTCTAGACAATCCAAACGATGTGAAAAGCGACTTTTAAAGTTGTAACTGTAAATTTACCATTGATTATACAAACAACTACAATACTAAAAAGTTGTGTATTGTGGTGCAGAGTCTCTTGAACGTGGGAGAGGCAGTACTCCAAAAATGGTGGGAAAATTGGTCGTGAGAAAGGCTAATTGGTTTGCATTTGACAGAGAAAAGTAACAAAATAGCTAGAGCATATAAGGAGTAATTGCGACTTAATGGGTTAATTAATGACATCTACACATATTTTTTAATCTTGGCAAGAGGATTTTGATTTGAAAATACAATTTCACTTGCATTATTTTCTGAACAAAACTAATTGACTGCAGTATTATATTCTGTAAAATTGTTATTTTGTCACTAGGTGGTATCAATATATTGTTGCTGTGGGTTGATGCATATTAGGTCCTGACTCCTGAATTAATTCAGGAAGGGCATGGCAACAATATTAAGTATCTTAATTATAGTTGAACCATATAGCATGCAATGCCATTTATGTCAAGAAACTCCCCTAAATGTGAAATTAATGTAGGAAGTCTGATTAGCATTAAATTAAGGCACTTCGATCATCAAAGAGTTTAAAATCTCAAGTACTTGTAGAGCTTATTTATAAATGATTCCATTTCTAGACAAGTTAACAGAAGATGAAATGAAGTTGCTGGCAGAATTAAGAAGGCAAAAAGCTATCATTCTTGCTGAGATTCAGGTAACTTTTAAGAGAAAAGTTAAGTTAGCATCAGATTAAAGTTAAAGAAAGAATACAAAAGCAACGCTACATATTATATTACACACCCGAATTTGGTGAAATTGCATTATGCTATAATTTAATAATAGTATAAGCCTAGGAGTGGGGTTTGAGTTTGGGATAGAGTCTGGATTGAGCCGCATTTTTTATTTACTGTTGCGGTATATTGATACTTAGTCTTGAACTGTCAGTGCTAGTGTTTGTAGTGCCAATAATAACAAGCTTTTGTCGGCAGGGTTGCAGCTACCTGAAAAATACAAGGAGAAAATTGATGTTTCGAGCAAAGGACCTTTGTCTTGTTATTGATATTTAACCCATTGCGTGTAGCACTCTCCCTGTGACAAGTAAAATTGGCTGCAGTAAAATAATAAAGTAGGACGCATCTGGGCGCATTGTCACTTAATTAAAGGGTTAACAGGGTGCATATAGGCATAGTCTGATTAACCCATTGAGTAGCAGCACTCTCCCCCTGATAAGTAAAATCGTCTAGCATTAGACAGAGTAAAATAACAAACTAGTGTGCATCTGGGTGCATTGCCACTTAAAGGGTTACTATTATAAGTTATATATATTAGAAATGTTAATTAGATATTGCATTTTTAAAAATATCAATATATACTAAAAATATTTATTTTTGTGCATATATTTCAAAAATAAGCCTAGGGCAACTAATTCATGCTTCTGTAAAAAATTGAAAACCTAAATGAGTCTTAATGCTTTCCAATTTAATGCACCATGGATTTTTATTTCCTATATTGACATTATAACTTCCTGACAAAGTTGAGTACTAGAAGTTTTGAGTTTTGGAAAGTGAAACTAGGAAGTATACTGTCACAGAAAAGACTAAATCTTTCTTGAGTATAGTCAAATGATTGTATGGTTCTTCAAAATATCAGGAAAATGAAGAAATGACTTCATCTGTAAGGCTGTGACTCACATAATTCTTGGAGGGAATAAAAATAACTCTGAGTTTTCACTAGTATGTAAGATGTTAAATATTAACTAGTAATATACCGTAACATATTTGTATTGTTCTTGTAGCAACTGAAAACGGAGATCAATGAAGTCCAGTCAGAAATTGAATCTGTCGAGCAACCAGATGAGGGGTACTGTACTGTCACATGCAGCTGTTGTAATAATAAAATAATTGTATTACCTTGTGTAATGCTAGTGTGTTAATGGTATATTTCCATGAATTACCCATGATACAATTTGTCGGAAAGTTGTTGACAACATCAAGTGTTTTGATTTGTTGCCAATTGATCATCTACTGTGAGGATTGTCAATACAGACTTTTGGGTGCATGTTGATTATAGACAAATTACAGTAAATGCTAACGTTGCATTTACATTGTTTAACCCATTGAGTGGCAGCACTCTCCCCCTGACAAGTAAAATCGTCTGGCGTTGGACAGAGTAAAACAACGTAGGGTGCATTGCCACTTAAAGGGTAATAACCCAATTCAGAACTTTAGATAACTTGCATGCCTTAGTCACGATTGTTCTAGTTTACAGAAGCATACAGTAGAACTTTAAGCATTAGAATTATGTATAAGAGTAATATTCACTCGGGTAAATAATTCTAAATCTTTAAGTTTAGTTATGTGTCTATGCTTCTGTATAATAGAGTGTTGTGAATTTTCAGGAGCCAAATTTGTCTATATGTATCTAATTTCTGTGTGATTCAGTTGTTATTGTTGGTGGGTCCAGGCCTCGAAATAAGGGTCATTGACCGGTAAATTTCACAGTTTGATTGGCAAATGTTGCTGCTTACTGGACACACATGACCGGTGCGTTTCCCAACAGACACACTTTCAAAACTGACAGGTATTCTTTTGCAAGAAAAAAGCCTAAAGTTTGTTCATTGTGTAATGGTGTTTATGAAGCAACATGACATTAAACACTCAAAAATTAGAATGAGCACTGCCCAGGACTATATTGCGTTCTAATTTGGAACGCAGACTTTGTCGCTGTTCTCATTTTTTTCTTCTCATTTTTGACAAGCATGTGAAAGTACTCTTGAGAGTAATAGTCTGTGAATGTAGTCATACTTACAAAAATACACTTAGAATAGGCGCAAATTTTAAAAACAAAAGATGACCGGCAAAAAATCCATCGACTGGCTGGTGAATTTAAGATTCTACTTGTCATAATGATTGTACAACTTCCAAATTTATTTCAAGGCCTGTGTGGGTCATTTTGGTAGCTGCAGTTTCAAGGTTAATTATTAATTTTTTATATTGGAATTTTCTTTCAGAAATAACTCGAAACAAATTGCTATCGGGCGGAAAAAGTTTAACATGGACCCCAAAAAGGTAACTACTGATCGATCGACTAACCCCGATCAGCTGATTGACTGACTCAAATACTTGCAAGTTACCATGACTTATAAGGTCCAATCAGGTCATGCAAAATTTGTAATCTGTTTACCAGGGCATTGAATACCTTGTAACAAATGAACTGCTAAACAACACTCCTGAAGATATTGCAAGATTTCTGCTAGACGAAGATACATTAAACAAAACAATGATTGGAGATTATTTGGGAGAAAAGTAAGAGATATAATATGATTTCAGACTATTGTCCATAGACAATGTTTTTTTATAATTTATTCCTTTTGCAAATTAACCAATTCACATCTAAATCACATTATACTGTAAGCAGGGTCTTAGCTAGGATTTTAGATCTTGGGCGTGTTTCTAATGACCAGGGCGTGCACATGTCAATTACCTTGAATAGCAAAATCACGGTTCTAGTTATGCTCGCCAGCAACAACTATGCTTGTGGACTGTTCTGGTTGTTCTATGCTTTGCAACCAAATACAAGACGAGCATACGCTCATATTGCGCACTGAGATTAAAATATTAAGTTATTTCAGCAACTCTTGGGGGTATTTAAAACCATTTTAACACCATACAGTTCCCATAATCCATCAAAATATTAAAACATCACGGATCATTTTTGCCAATTCAACAACAACAGTAGATTTTACAAACTTTCTTATGACGTAAATAGGAAGAAATTCTGTCTGTTGTAAGTAGCACCACCTTATTTTATGAACCTACACGGCCTTATATAAAAATAGTAAAGACGCATTAATTTTATCAAGCCGTGTTTTTCCGCTTTTGGCCGTGATAACACGGCCCTCTAGCTAAGACCCGGACTGTAAGTTCTATGTTGCAGTAAAAACTCATTTTCCTTCAGTTTCTTAACTGTTTTTCTTGCAGTAAAGAGCCCATGTTGTCGGTATTGCAGTGTTTTGTAGATTTTCAGAACTTTAAAGATTTATTGCTTGTTGATGCATTAAGGTTTGTTTAGAAGTTTTGCTTCAGTAGTTAACTTACAATGGCATCACCTTAATAGTATATATACCATACATAAACTTACGGTTAGAGCTTGACAACTGGCCTCCGTAGCCGCACCGAAATCGCAAGGCCGCAGGTTCTATTCCTGCCAGAGGACCTATAGTTGCATTTTTCACAATTGCACCTGGTTAGGTCTAATAAATTTATAAAATTCACACTTGAAATTTCCATCTACAGAACCCTCAAACAATTAGACTAAGTGTTAAGACTGTAGTCCAACCTCGTTCCCAGGCTCTTTGCTCTTGGGAACGAGGTTGACTGTAGTCATGCCTAAAATCTCAACAGTGGTCGTTTGTCACATTTAGTGTTTTTTCCCTCAATTTGAACAATACCTGTGTTTCAGTGACCTGATACGTACGCAGGGTAGCGGAGAAAGTCTTAGTGAGGAATTGATTATACGATTTTCTAGCTAATAAAATAGATTGATTGAAGCAAGATTTTCGCAAATATCGACAAAAAGGCGTATTTTAGGATGTGATTTGACTGGACTAATTACTGTGTAAAAATGGTCCTTGCACCAGGCTTACACTCGCAATTTTTCGACAGCTGATTGCTCTCAAAGGGCTTTGAAAAGTTTTTGAAAATAGGCAGAAAAAATCTTTGAAAGTCTTTGAATTGTTTTGGTCTTGGAGACTACGAACCCTGGTACGTTTACCGCTTGGTGGTCAACTCCAAATGGAAACATATTTATTGGATCGAGTTAAATATTCATTATTAAGTACAGTGTATATGCAATATATCAAATATATGCAATTTAACGAAATTTACTTGCTTGCACAAGGGACTCAAAGCATAAAGTAAATAATTTAATATTTATGTGTGTGTCGTCTTTTTTTGTCTTCCGTGATAACTTTTTGATGTATTAGTGGGCTAAGTCTTTTTCTTCTGTTGTATTTCGTATCTGCCCTCTTGTTTTCTTTCCAAGTTGAGTCCCATGTGCTACCCAACTTGATTAGCTTTTATATAGTTATTATAAGTAGCCTTTACTCTAATTTCTGTATTTCCAATTGTTGTTTTGTTGGGTTTTTTCTCAAATTTGCACTATGTAATGAAATAGTAAAAATTAAATGATCTGTTATCTGTTATAAAGCGGCAATATGTGTAAAGTCGACCACCAAGCGTTTCCCTCCCTGAGTGAAACCCACATGTATGCCATGACCCTTACTGTACCTCTTAAGGGAGAACAGTTTAGAAGTGTTAGAGATGATATTTTGCATGCAAAACTACCGACTTATATGGATAAATATTCTATATTCACAGGACATTCCTATGGAGTTTTCGTCTCCCGGGTGAAGCACAAAAAATCGACCGAATGATGGAATGCTTCGCAAAGAAATATTGCGACCAAAACGAGGGTGTTTTCACATCGACAGGTAACTTAACAGTTCAAGAATGTCCAGCTCTCTTAATAGTACGGGAACTTGTCTTCAGGGGTGGAAAAAATAGGCGAGCACTGCTCGCAGGAAATGTTAAACAGCTGCAGGAAATTCGTTCGAATGAAGATTTGCTATTGAAAATTGGAAGGAAACCTTCACCACTATGGGCGCAACAACATATGGTTGACAGACATTATTCCTTGAATTTAAAACCATGGTCAGCTAGAACACTGTATGTTTATGCACATGCATGCAGATTTAGCACAAAAATACTCCGTTGGTCTGCAGGAAATTTTTGTCTCCAGGTTGTGCTCCCAGGAAGAAAATTCTTTTTTCCTGCCCTGATTATCTTACATTTCATTGCTTTATAGACACCTGTTACGTTCTTAGTTTTTCAGTAATTATGTTAAACACAAGTTTACATAATCCAAGTGTAAAGGACAAAGTAAGCCATCTATTTACTAATTTAGTTTAATTCTTCTATCTACTTGCACACGTGAAAATCTCACAACTTGTCAACAAGATGTGTTCGCAACAGGATTGTATAGCAAGCTTGTCAACAAGTTGTAACAGCGCTGTTATTTTATCAAGTTGCTACAAGGTTGTCACTCACAACTTGTTGACAAATTGTTGATAACAAGTTGTTGGAACAACTTGTAGCTCAACAACCTTGTAGCAACAGTTGACAACTTGTCAACAACCTGGGAACAAGCAGTGCGAGCACATCCTGTTGACAAGTTGTTGGAACAGCATTGCTAAACAAGTCTGCTGCAGGTTTGTTACAATTTGTGCAGTGTTTAGCTTACATGTTCTGTTGTTACTAAGTTACGTTCGCGCGCATGCGCTAGGTCACTGTATATGGCTATAAATTAATGTTATTAAAACATGCTTGTACATGTATTTATTTTCAGCCGACTGTAGAAAAATTTATCACAATGAATCGTGGTATAAACTGTGGTGGCGATCTACCCAAAGATTTATTAATTGTAAGTATTCATGTCTGCGTTAGTTTAGGTTTCCTCCTGTAGTAACACTGGATAAATAAATTATCCTTACTGGACCTCTTGGGAGAACAGTTTAGAACTGATAGAGTTATCCAGTATAAATAAAGTTTGTTTAGTTTAGGTTTCCTCCTGTAGTAACACTGGATAAATAAGAGATGATCCTTACTGGACCTCTAGGAAGAACAGTTTAGAACTGATAGAGCTATCCAGTATAAATAAAGTTTGTTTAGTTTAGGTTTCCTCCTGTAGTAACACTGGATAAATAAGAGATGATCGTTACTGGATCTCTAGGAAGAACAGTTTAGAACTGATAGAGTTATCCAGTATAAATAAAGTTTGTTTAGTTTAGGTTTCCTCGTGTAGTAACATTGGATCAATAAGAGACGATCCTTACATGCAGGACCTCTAGGAAGAACAGTTTATAACTGATAGAGCTACCCACTATAAATAATTAAATAAAGTTAGTTTAGTTTAGCTTCTTTCTGTAGTAACACTGGATCATTAAGAAGGAGATGCCCTTACTCTAGCCTCTAGGGAGGACAAGTCTAAATTAGAGCTGGTAGAGCTATGACCTTGTATGTAAATAAAGTTAGTTTAGTTTTGGTTTCCTCCTGTAGTAACACTGGATCAATTATGGATGGCCCTTATCAGACCTTCAGGGAGAACAGTTCAGAATTAATAGAGCTATCCAGTATCAATAAAGTAAGGTATTACAGATTCGCAGTTTAGTTTCGATTTCCTGCTGCGGAGGGGAGTTTTGGCAAAGATGGTATAATGAGTTGAGAGTTAAAATTTGAAAAGCAATCGCCCCTCTATACCTTTCGTGACCAGCTTACACTGCAGTAACTGTATTCATAAACGTGTGTTTTGCAGAGTCTTTATGAGAATATTAAAAAAGAAGCTTTTAAAGTTCCCGAGGACGATGGCAGCGACATAACGAGGACATTTTTCAATCCTGATAATGAAGGATTTTTAACGAAAGAAGGTGAAACTATGACCAACGCGTTGTTAATGATTTCTCTGCTTGAATACAGATACAGAATAGTTTTCAAATACTAAGATCAGACTTGATGTTTTGTCTTCAGGCGGCCATCATAAGAATTGGAAGAAACGTTACTTTATTTTAAAGGATAATTGTTTATATTACTTCAAAGATATAAAGGTATATATGCACGCTTGCTATATTATACCCCCCCCCCCCCTATCAACCCATTTCTATAATGGATGGGTCGGATCTTGTTTCCAATTTTATTGTATTTCCCTTCATCTGACTTTCCTAAGTGTACTTGAATGTTGTACTTGTGTATGAACTATGAAGCTCAGTGGTATTTATATTATTTGTGATTATAGGATAAAGAACCTCGGGGAATAATTCCCCTAGAAAATCTTCAAGTTCGCGAGATAAATAACGATAAAAAACCGGTAACACTACCTTGTTTATATTTTATGATTTACGATTGCAATGAATTAATGAACGTGGTCTAATGTACTGTAGGTAGTATCAAGCTACCGTGATTTGTGTCTGAACTAAGTTCAGACACAAACTACGACAGCACTATGTTGTAGAATACTATCTACACTGGACCACCACGTTTGAGATATCTTTTTCAGGTAGTTCAGACACAAACCACGACAGCTTATTGTAGATTACTACCTACACAGGCTACCACGTTTGAGATATCTTTTTCAGGACCTGAAAAAAAATATCTCAAACGCGGAGGTCCCAGTGTAGGTAGTATTGTACACTAAGCTACTATGGTTTGTGTCTGACTAACTGAAAAAGATATTTCAAACGTGGTGGTCCAGTGTAGGTAGAATATTCTACAGTAAGCTATCGTGGTTTGTGTCTGAAGTTCTGAACTACCTGGAAAAAGATCTCTCAAACGTGGTGGTTCAAAAGTCTGAAAAAAAATCTACTGGAGAAATCCAATTAGATATGGATTAAACACGACTATACAGACAACTGGGAATAGGCCTGGGAGTAAACCTATGGACGATCCTATGTACGAACGTTAACTACTGTAATATAATAATAAGCATTCGGAATAGGTATGGTCTATGGACCTATGAAAGATTTCGCTCGGAGCGTCGAAATATTTTTCATATTGTTTCAAGTATTTCAGTCTCCTTCTAACCTCACTCTCTTTTTTTATGAAGTTTTGTTTTGAAATTTCGGCGCGTGAAACCGGCGGTATGATAAAAGCATGCAAGACAGATTCTGAAGGAAAAGTTGTGGAAGGTACTGTATAGTCTGGTATAATATCAGTTCAGCCTCCTTAATCGGCCAGGGTTTGTCAAGGAGAAATCCATTTTTTTTCCACTGTGAGACATTTTTATCAATTCAATACCGTAAACCTCCGAATATAATCCCCCCGAATATAACCCC